GAGTCCCTCCTCCCGGCCTCGCGCGTTTTGGACGTCCTCCTTGGCATCGTTTGACCCCCCTCCCCCTCCCTTTCCCCCTCCCCTTCCCCCTCCCTCTCCCCCTCCCCTTCCCCCTCCCCCTCCCTCTCTACCCCCCCTCCCTCCCCCTCCCTCTCCCCCTCCCCTTCCCCCTCCCTCTCCTCTTCCCCTTCCCCCTCCCCCTCCTCCTTCCCTCTGCCCCTCCCTCCCCCTCCCCCCCCCCCGCCCCCCCCAGGCAGCGCCCTCACGTGGACCCTGTACCTGCTGGTTCAGAATCCGGACAAGATGGCCAAGGCGGTGGTGAGTTGAGAGAGCGGGAGTGTGTGTGTGTGTGCTGTGTTTGGGGGTTTGGTTGGACGGGGCAGGGGGCCAGGGGAAGGGGAGGGGAGGGAAGACTCGAGAGACGAGGGAGAGGAGGGAGAGGGGAGGTGAGAAAAGGGAAAAGGGAAGAGTAGGGGAGGGGGAGCTGGCCCAGGGAACGTGGGAATGCGGAAGTCCCGGATGGCAGTTGGTGGCAGCCCGGTCCCCCACCCACCCCCGCGCTCATCCACCTCCCCCCCTCCCGCCTGCCGGAACTGACACCCGCTTACTCCGCAACGCGATGCAACCACACTCACCACACTCACCACACGCCCTCACCTGCAGCATCCAACACACATATGACATTAAGATATACATACATACATACATATATATGTATATATATACATATATATGATATGTGCCCCCAAACATGCCCTTTATCAAACTCCCCCACCCGGCAGGCGGAGGTGGAGTCCGTGATGGGCAGCCGTACCGCCCCCACCCTGGCGGACTACGGCCAGCTGCGGTACGTGATGCGCTGTGTGAACGAGTCCATGCGGCTCTACCCGCACCCGCCCGTGCTGCTGAGGAGGGCGCTGGTGGAGGACGAGCTGCCGGGGGGCTACAAGGTGCGCACTCGCTTGGGGCTTGTGCGTGTGTGTGTGTGTGTGTGTTTTGTAAGTGCGGAACTGGGCCGCGGGAGGATTGGTAATTGCTGAGGCTGTGCGGGTGCGGGTGCGGGTGTGTTGGACGTGTGTGTTGTGCCACCACTACTACTTTGGGCTTTGTTGTGAGTTTTGCAGTGGTTTGCGTTTCGTGATGAAATGAAAGGGACGTGTGTCTGTGTCTGTGTGTGTCTGTGTTTACCCGAGTTACCCGAGCCGCAAGGTGTGTAAGCGAGTGGGTGAGAGAGTGTGTGTGTGCGTGCGTGTGTCTGTGTCTGTGTGTGTGCGTGTCTCCCATTTTGTGTACATGTACATCCTCGCCCGTATCCTAGTCCGCCCCGGCCGGTCCCTCGGGCCCCCAGCACCTCCCCCCAGCACTACACACACACTCACTCAACGTCCCCCGCACCCACCCCCCCGTCCACCCGGGGGAGACAGGTCCCCGTGGGCCAGGATGTGATGATCTCCGTGTACAACATCCACCATTCGGAGGCCGTGTGGGACAACCCCGAGGTGCGGTTGGGGGTGGGGACGGGTTTCGGGTTTCGGAGCTGGGAAATCCGTCTGCCTTTTTATGGATTCAGATCCGGATCCTTCTGGTCCGCGGCGCGATGGGGTCGAAGCTGCCCTGCTCAGTGTGAGGAGTAGAGAGGGAGGGGGAGGAAGGGGGGGAGGTATGTGGCGGCCGACAGCGGCCGTTACTTCCCTCACCTCNCCTCACCTCACCTCACCTGACCTCACCTCACCTCACCTCACCTTACCTTACCTTACCTTACCTTACCTTACCTTACCTTACCTTACCTTACCTTACCTTACCTCACCTCACCTTACCTCACCTCACCTTACCTCACCTTGCTGATGCTGATGCCAAGATCCGCTCATTCCCATTCCCCTCCCTCCGCCGCCGCCGCCGCCGCCGTCCTCCCTCTCGTGCCTCTCCGCTTCTCGGGGAGTGATCTCCCCCGGCCCCGGCCCCGGGTCCTCCCGCAGGCGAGCCTAACCGCCCTCCCATCCCACCCCACCCTGCGAAGCCCCAGGACTCGTCCCTGTCTTCCCGGCCTTCCCCGCCGCAGGCCTTCATTCCCGAGCGCTTCGGCCCCCTTGACGGCCCCGTGCCCAGCGAGCAAAACACCGACTTCAGGTGAGTGCCGTGGCGAGAGGGGCACCTAGCCTGGGAGTACGGAGCGCGAGATCGAAACCAGGGGGCAGCAGCAGCAGCAGTAGTAGGAATAGTAGTAGTAGTGGTAGTAGTAGTAGGAGGACGCGGTAGTTAGTGGGTGTGATGCGGAGAGAGACAGAGTGTCAGCAGCTCAGCTCAGCCCGGGTGGGGGTGGGGGTGGTGGCGGGGAGGTGCCGCTGCTCTTTAGGGTTTTCCGAGCGGAAGGGTGGCCGCCGCCACCACGGGGGACATCACGGAATGCGAGGTGAGGTGGTCGGCGCAGGGACCCCCTGGAGGACTGCTTTCCTGTAGCGGCGGAATGCCCCGTCGGCAGTGGCGCAAGGTGGGATGGTGGCTCCGAGGCTGGCAGCAGAGAAAGGGAACTAGGGGCGGGAACGACAGAGGGCGGGCGAATGGCGAGGGTTTGTTGATGTATGTGTTTGGCGCTTTATTGCGGGCGCTATTCTCTGTCCGCGCCTCCGGTCTGCGAAACCTCTTCCCCGGCAATCCACCTGCTCCTTCCTTTTGGCTGTATTACCGGTGTTGTCCTGTCCTGTCCTGTGCTGTACTTGACTTGACTAGACTTCCTTGCACTGCTGTTACGTCCGAATCGCCGCAAAACGCCGTTCCTTCCTTTCCGGAGGTATCGCCTTCCGCAGTGAACCACCGTATGGACAGTTCACGACAGCGATTTGTTGTGTTTGTGTCGGCACCCGATGTACGACACCCTCTTGCCCCTTCGTCAATCCGCGTCTGAGGGGACGGTTCCTTTTTTCCCCCTTTCCCCTTTTTTTCCTTCGTTCCCCTTTGCCTGTTCCGTAGTGCGCCTTTTCGTCGCCGAGAACGAAAGCTGTGACCTTTCCCGTTTCGTTGCGCCCTTTTTCCCGTATCCACCAATGCATTCCTCATTTCCTTTCCCTCTCCTCCCCCTTACCCTACCCTACCCTACCCTACCCTACCCTACCCTACCCTACCCTACCCTACCCTACCCTACCCTACCCTACCCTACCCAGGTACATCCCCTTCAGCGGGGGGCCCCGCAAGTGTGTGGGCGACCAGTTCGCGCTGATGGAGGCTGTGGTGGCCTTGGCGGTGTTGTTGCGGCAGTTTGATTTTTCGCTGGTGCCCAACCAAAAGGTATTCCCACTTTCCTGGCCTGTTCGCGGCTGAAAGGGAAGGAAGGCTCTGAAAGGGAAGGAAGAGCGTATGTAATAGCTACAGGCGGTGCGAAGAGTCTAGCTAATTGTGCGTCTGTCTGTATGTGCGTGTGCGCGTGCGCTGCCTTCACCTACGTCAAGCTTTCTCACCCCAACCTGATTCCGCGGGCGGTTCTTCTTCCGCAGATTGGCATGACCACCGGCGCCACCATACACACAACCGATGGGCTGTACATGTACGTCAAGGAGCGCCGTACATGTGCCGGTCAGGCGGCGGCGGGTGCGGCGGCCGTCACGGCGGGCTGAGCTGGCTCTCTCTCCCTCTTCCTCTCGCTGTGGCCTGAAGCTCCCGAGCGATTTCTGTTTGCCAGCTCTTCATCGGACCAATCCAGTTCCCCTCTCGATGTTTCTTTGTGGGTGCAGATGAGGCTTTGCACAAATTCGTGTGAATGACCATCTCCTTCCTTCCTTTCGCCGTGCTGGTGTCTTAGTGCCTTTCCGGCGGCTTCTGACTTAGGGTGATGTCGTAGAGGCTACTGCCGTGGGAATATGGGTGTGCAGGCCTGCTAAAAGCGATACCTGTAGCGCTCGATGGCCCCACGGCGGCGGGTGCTGCTGCAGTGAGGAGGGCCTGATAAGCAGCAGGTTGCATGTGTAGCCCGGTTGCATGTGTAGCCCGGTAGGCAGCCGGCAGTAGTTTGTTCAGTGTATGCGCTCGGTGGGTGATGCGCTAGATGCTCTTAGGGGCTTACTGCTGCTGCCGCTGATGCCGCTGGTGCTGCTGTGTCGTTTTGCGAATGGTTGAGGTATCTTGGCGGTGGCGCCGATTGGGTGATCTATCGGTGCGGTTGGACGGGTTGGGGGGGCGTGGATGGGGTGGGAATTCAAGGTGGTGGTGGGGATGGTGGTGGGGATCTTGGCCTCGCGCGGGAATCTGGGGCTCAATTTGTTGTATCAGGCATTGACAAGTGTCCGAGCGTCACGTTGCGATGCTGCATAGGGTACTACCAGTTAGCAAGCAAGAGCGTGTACGCGAGTGCGGTTTAACAAAAGCGATCAGCGTGGCGCCTAATAACAAACGTATGTTGTAAGCAGACGCATGAATTTTGGAGCCTCTCGCCGTGTACATATTCGATCCCTGTATGGTTCCGTACTCCTAATTCGCTATGACGGCAGCATAGTTGGAACGTCATTTCGATGCAACGATAGGTTCGTCTCTCATGTTTGCGTCACGTCTCTAAGTTTGTCGTACATTGGTTATTAGCTTATGGAGGGCACGCCGTTCGACAGTGTCTGTGGTACCAGGTTTGTCGTACTGTCGTACGTGTTGGGCGCTTCTTCGTCTGTCCACCAACTATTAAAGTGAAACGCGGTGCGGCATCACACCATCATTACATAAGGCAGTACGATTTCCGGACGGATATATCGTATATTTGGCCATATCACTGCAAGGAATTGCAGTGTATGATAGTCGGCCCAAATATGCGTTTGCATAATGTGTATGCAGCTGCAAGTAAGCTCAGCTCCTGTCTCTCGCATATCGGCTCATTCGCTCTTTGTTGTTCTTCTCACACATACACACATAACACATGGCGGCGCACACTCAAGACGCGAACGCGAAATCGCAAACCGTATAAAAAGATTTACCTCAGTAAAGGACCAACGGTAACAGCGCTCTTAAAGATAACCGGCAATCAGCAGCAGGTATACATGTGCACAGATTGAAATATACTTCGAAACAGCACACAAACAATTCACCGCAAAAACAATCATCGCGCGTGACAGCGCGTGATTAAATGAAAACGAACGCAGTTGCTGCTTTAGAAATAGAGCGCTATTTACGCTCGACCGCGTGTAGCAATTGAGCAAAATTACGACAGAGATTGCTTTATCAGTGTAACGTGCATGCGCAGTTGCACTTCTATGAATCATACGTTATTAACCAAATAAGAATCAAAATAGGCTTTGGTCTGTAAAATAAGCCCGCTGTACGGTCTAAGTACGGTCTGCCGAACAGATGACATCTATGAGGTTCATTGCACGTTGCAAACAGGCCGCTTGCCTGCGTATCCCTTCAAAGATAATTAGCTTTGCATCTAGCACGTGGAAGAGAGATATGGGGTGTACGAGTGCTATGGGTTCATGCACCCTGCAGCACATGAAGCAAAATATAGAAAAAGAATCACAGTGCGCTTTTGAGCTCCTCAGCAAATTCAACGGGAAAATTCATGTAGCTACAGCACTCCCTGTCAACTTTCTGAAATCCCTCTAAGGAACTGTTGAAAGGAAAGTCAAGCAGCCGCTGGTACTGCACTAGTCCGTACGCCATGGACCGTACGACGCCGATGTGGTCCAAAAGCTCTCGCGCCGTCTCCTGTGATTGGCGCGCAAGAGCTTGCCCTCGAGAGAACTCCGCATTCTGTTTGCAGTCCTCCACCATCCTGCGGGCTGTTTCAACCACTGTGCTCAGACTGCCGTCAAACTCTTCCAGAGTTACACCTGGCGCGAAAAAATGGTCCACGTGGCTTGTGTAGTTGCTGGCGAGCTTCAGAATTGGGGTTGAGGAGTGAACCAGGCGCGAGGCGAAGCGGTCAGACCAGGTGTTGCCATCGACGTCTAGGATGACACAGTACTTGTTGTAATCCTCGGGGTGTATATAGCCGCCAGTGTCGTTAACAATGGGTCCCAGAATCCCTTTGCATTCCTGATTCAACCTGTTGAGCTTCACATCGAGCAGGTCCGGATGTTCCCGAGCAAGGAGGTGAAGGCGCACGCGTTTCAGCTGCAGCAGGGTCGGTACATAAGAGGTAATAAGCTTGGGGACTTCTCGAAGCGAAGTATGAGTGCAGAGATAGGCAAGTAGTTATTGCGAAGGAGCTGCCGTGGTGCGTGGAAGTAGGGCGCATGCATGCATGCATGTGCCGGATCACAGTACGGCAGGGGACGCCGAGTTCCTACTTGGGTCGCGCAGGCGCAGTGGTTCTCTCGCTGCCACTATTTTGACTATTACCAAGAGGTGTGTCCGGCTGCTGGGATAGTGCCCTCTAGTTTCCCCCCACCCACCCACCGGGTCAGTATCTTACTAATTATCCTATACAACTGGTCTAATCTTGGAGTACCCCTCTATATTCCTTCTTCGCGTCAAACGTCTGTGCCTCGTCGTATCCCCCCCCCAACCCAGGGCAGTCCCGGGGGTTGCCACAATGCAGGACTGAGCAATAAGAGTGAATTTCCGGGGTACGCGCATCGACAATCAATTAATCTTTCAAGGGTGCGGAAATCACTCTTACAGTCCTAGCGGAGTGCATCAAGCGCATCTGGAACCGCCGTACCTTCATGCACGTTTCCAAGCTGACAGGGCGTTCTACTTTGCCGGTGGAGCTACCTCGCCAGACAACTTGCGGTATGCGATATTTGACAGGGTACCTGCGAGTACCACAAAAATACCTCATAACTCCACTTCTACACATGCACAAGGGGGAGAAGGAGGAGCTCCAGCAAATTGCTACGGGCGAGGCAAATTACAACAGCCCGCCGCGCGCAACGTACGTGCGCGCACGCACCTCTCATTTAAGCAAGCATGGTAAGCGGTCATCTGTGTTGGACCTAAGGAGCCTTTCCATAGTGAGTAGGATGGCATCGCAAAACCGTACGTAGATGATCGAGACGCGCACATCGTGAACACCGGTTTCCCTGGCATAGAGCCGTCACCATAATGTACCCAGAACTCCATATCTGGTATAGGAAAAAGATAAGCTGTAATTCTTAACATGTCCTCGGTAAGCATTCTCCTGTCGGTGTCTTTGCCATCGTCACTGGAGGGATCGACGTAGAGCTTGCCGCCCAAGATTTTGTAATGGTAGTTAGTAAGTGGATGCCGTGCTACATCTTCAAAGTCATGTATCGAGATATTTCCCTTCCAGCTCCAGTAAGATATCAGAGGTGCAGCCGTAAGCTCGATCAAGGATGTTCGCTTCCAATATCGCGATGTGTACAATTCCTTGACGAGTCGCGCGTGGTCATAACATGGGCGATTGCTTGGAATAAGAATTGCGTGAGTAGAGTTCGGTGTTTGATGCTGAAGTGAAAGGTATCCTCCGGGAACGTTGAATTTGCTGTCTACGCGATCGGCGTGCAAAGGAAGAGGTTCCGTAGCAGAAACTGCCCTGAGAAAAACCAGAGAGATTAAATGCCATGCCAGCAATCTAAACACGTCTCGTGGTGCCATCCTGTCTGTATAATAATCCTCGGCAGTTGTCAGGTCTCGTTTCTAGATACGGGTGGTCCCGGCAGGGGTTAATTTCGAACAGGGCAAGTTCGAGCGCATAACTAAAGAGATAGAGCTCGTGCCTTTGAAAAGTTCAAAGTGTATGATATTTTATGTGTTCCGAGGCCGGCAGACAGTTTGTTTCAGGTGGTTTTGGTTCCGGGGCTCAAATCTTGCATGGAGACGCCAATTCACGAGGCGCGAATTCCGCGAGACGAAAAAAGTACCGTCTACCCATCAGAGCATATGCATATACTTACAACTATCCGGAGAGGCATGTGATCCGCGCGATTTCTTAGGTTTCGCTCGTCAGTCGTCAAGTTTCACGGAACCGTGTACAGGCCGTCACAGCGACTAGAAACAAACGCAAAGCCCGGAACATTTTGGAATATATAGGTTAAACAAATCCAGAGGGCCGTCATGGGCAGAAGCAAGCGCAGGGTCCTTCCAACTTTAGAACACGCTCCTCCAAAACAGCGCAAGAAGCAAAAGCCGCAGCGCTGGCCGCTCTGGACCCACCAAGACCTCGCGGATGCCCTGCACACTTATGAGCACACGCAGTGCAGCATGCGGGACGCAGCTGCTGCGTGCGGTATCCCACCCAGCACCTTCCATCCGTACGCAAAGTAACAGCAGCCCGTTAGAACCAAAGCGGGGCGACCACCAGCGCTGGAATACGGGGCGTCAGTTGACCTCGGGCTTACTCACGCAGCAGAGGCTCCCTATAAAACGGGCCCTCACTTGCCAGCTTGGCGACCTCCACCTACATCCATCTAAGCGCAGCAGGTAATGAGGAAACATTTCCATACGCTCGTTACAAAATATGATAATTCCATTTTGTGTTCGTAGCCATCAACCAAGCGAGGTTTCCTTGCAGCCTGTCGTCCAGGCCTTCCCCCTAGGATGACATACAGCACAGTTCGAGAAACGGAATGCCGAAGACAAAAACGAACCCTTAGCTAACCGCAGAGCACACGAGCTCGCGAGCACGCATGCGCGATATGTCGGAATGGCTGCGCAAAGGGCAGTTGGGCTCACAGCTGGTTGAATTAGAGGGGTCCCTGTACAAGGCAGGCAGGGCGCGAGTCTTCTAGGCATACATGTCGAAGCAAGACCTTAACTGCTGTTTTTTTTTTTTGTGTGTGCGTGTGTTACATGGTCGTGGGGTCCGTTCCCTGTACCTGCAAGCCGAGGGCGCAAGGGCTGCCAGATCGCCTATAAGTACCATCCTACCTCGCAGTTCAGACAAAGCAGGTGCTAAAGCAGACTAACGACCGAAGGGAACGATAGAGTTGCGGTGGGACCACATACGTTACAGCATCACTGCCAGGCGTTCAGGTTCCCACTTCATAGCGTCCTTCATATGCTCGAAGCGTGGCAAATCCATATCAGATCTGATTTTGATGCTCGGCCTTCTAGGCACTCACGAAGGCTCAGGGACCCATAGCTCGTCACCAGTACCAGTCGTCAGCACTACTTTCGACTCGTATAGCAGCATCGTACATACAAAACATCGTACATACAACATACAAAACATCGACAGGGGGATCACGAGCGTCTGTTCTGCATCCATCCATGCAGCAAATTATGAGCAATGAGTCCTGCTATAGATCAACTAGCGACCCTAATACTGCTGCTGGCACCCCAGGGCCGTGGCACATGGACATGATATGATCTGCTGAGCATGGGCTATAGCCCACCCGAGTACTGAAGACGGTCCGCACGTACATACACCCTATGCTAAGCGAGCTGCATGCGCCTGCAGGCACCATTATAAGAACGCGCGCACGTAGGCAATAATAAGCTCCTGTCTAGCCTGTTCCTCCGATCGCGATCCAAATCACGAAATGGTAAAAGCACGCCACACCCTCTTCTCTCTCTACAGAAGGCGGCGCCCGACCACCGGAGGGGAGTTGAGCTTGCAGTTGGTCCAGCCAGCAGTGATGACCTCGAACCTGGGCTCGCCAACCTCGGCCATGCGGCGGCCCAGTGCTGAAACCACCACCCTGTGTGATCACGTAACAAGGCAACGTGCAAGTCAGGCTAGCACACAGTCGTCGTCATGTGCACCACGGAAAAAACATGTTGTATATGCACCGAAGGTATTAACGAGGGTTATGCACGTGCACGGCGACCCAGCAAGCAGTCAGCAGGCATTTTCATGCGGGTGTTAACGCCTTATGGTTATCAAGGGCCGAAGTGACGAATGCATGGCGCTGTAGATGTATGGAAGCAAAAACATCTGAGCAAAACGCCTTTCCGAAGTCAGGCCTTACTTATTGGCTGGCCCCAGCAACAGACATACATACCTGATGGCGGGCAGGGCTCGCGAGTAGCTTGGTGTGGAGTTCGTCAGGGCGCGGTTCAGGTCTTGGACTAATGCGGGGCGCACGTTACTCGCCAGCAGCATGGGCTCAAGGTAGGTCAAGTGTACGGCAATGAAGGCCTGCATTATACATACAGATACGTACACCCTACTGTCAGTGTATGAAGCATGTCGGCAGCTGCAAGAAAAGTAGTAGCTGGCGGCTGGGAAGGTCTCTTAAGATGCTGCCGGAGCGCCTTAACGCGTGCTTTTATAGACGATATGAATGCCGTACTATTTGCAGCTATAGTACAGCATCACAACCGAGTTGGCGCAGGTGGATTTGTTGCCGTACTAGTGTGCCTGCTTTCGTGTACTGGACGCGCACGCACCTGGGCTTCTGCAATCTGTGCTGCAGGGCGCTTGCAGGCCACTGCGACCTCCGCACGGTACACGGAACGCATGACGCCCTGGAGCCCGAGCAGGGTGATGTAGCGCTGGACCATGGCGCGGGTGTCATTGTACGACACAGCGTTCCCTGCGGATGTGTGGATTGGGAAGACATGTACACGTGACTAGCAGATAGATTTGGATAGGCAGCCGTAGGCAGGATACAGTGATGCAGGCGGCAGGTAGGCAAGCCCTCCTATCAATCTGGAGCCAACATGAGCATCCGCATCACCTTTGCGCGCAGCAGCCTGCAGCTCGTTCAACGCCAGAGTCATGGCACTGTTGATATAGGATCTGCCCACGAAGGTCGTCTCCAGGTCCGCGCCCAGCTGAGCCGCCCAGCTTGACAGGGTCGTGCACGCGCTGGGGCTGCCACCGGCCCACAGCGCAAACGCCTCGTCAACATTGTGGGGTGCACCTGGGGAAAAGAACATTGGGACGAGCCAGACGCATCAGTCATAAGCATTACATGAATTATTTAGCTAATGGAGCTGCTAACTACCTGCTATGGTTTCAGCGGCAAGCACGTCACTTCGAAAGTAAATAAAAACATTCCACTTCAAGGGTCCTGATTGGTCTTTCAGCAGCAAAATGAACTCTGTCAGAGTAAACATAAAATACATACGAAGAAACCTTTCCCTGTAAGCAAGCACGCATGTCTTTGGTGCAGCTCGTCGCACGACGATGAAACTCCCGCAGCCGTAGGACGGTTTCTGATTAATACCCCGACAAACCCAGACCGCCCGACCTGACTTGGCGCGTTTGTAAGTAACGCACCCGTTGCATCGCTAATGAGTATGCCGTTGTTAGCGGTGTCGTTCAGGTAGGTGGCGACGTTGGTGAAGCCCTCATCCACCTCGTGAAAGAAGTACTTCAGCACTGCAACCTGATGGATGACATGCGCGGGTGCCCATTTAGTATGCAGGGGCGTTAGGCGGGTGCGTAGCTGGGGTTCCAACTGAAATGCATGCGTGTACAACTAAACAAGCAAGAACAGCAGGATCTATTTATCCGTCCTTTTCTCCTTCGTAACTTCTTATAACCCACTCACGCACCTGGATCAGGCCAGCAGCCAGCGGTCCGTTGCGCTTTGCGATGGCATCCCTGCGGCAGCAGGTGGTCACCGTGCAGCAGTTACGAGAGCAAGCACATTCAACAGCATTGCATCATCACATTTGTCCTGCTGCTTTACGCACACTAGCTCATCACTGCCTACTTTCTACCGAGGGGCGACCCCTAGTACTACCTGTACTAGGTAGTGACAACCAAACGATTAGTTGTGGATCTTGACGACTGAACACATACATACAACTTCCTAAGCTGAGCCAAACAATCAGCAGTGCCCAGACCAGCGCACTGCGGTGCGCAAAGAGCGACGGATGGCCTCGACGACCCACGCACTCATCACGCACTTGATCATGGAGTCCAGCCATGAGGCATTGCGGCCCATAGCCAGGGCGTCGTGCAGGGGCTCCACGACACCAGCGCCGGGCGTGAAGCTGGCGAAACGCTGGCAGCAGCAGCAACAACAACAAGTAAACGACAATAATATGGAGTACCTCAAGAAATCTTAGGGAGATGCATCACATTTTAAGTATGCAGGACTATGAACGCACCCCTGCGCCCAAGCCGACCGACGCTTACTGCCCTGCTAGCAGCCAGCGCATGCATGTACAGTTGTTTGCATTGCAAGGTCAAGCATCGCTATTGGCTAGGCGGGAAATAGCATGATTATTGTCGGTGCCTGCCCCGACAAGCTTACGTAGAACGTGCGGCGTGTCAGGCCATTCCATGAGTTCTTTCCGGTGGTGTAGATTCCGAGGGCAGCACTGAAGTTGCCGGCAGTGATGGCGGCCTGCAGGCAAGTTAACATGTAATTGCGTTCACCAACACAAGAAAGGTAGTTTATCGCGGCGAACTCGACGACCCAAATCAACCATGTTAATAGCCGACCTGGCGCCGGATGAATGCGCAGAACGCATTGGGCGGCTGTCGTTAAGAACCCAACCCATCCAGTAGGTAGCTGGCATAGCCTCAGCCGCTCTACGATACCTGAATGTCGCAGTAGTCCATGGTCATGTTGACGTAGCCGATCACATTCGATGCATAACTGTATCCATCGAAACGAGTACCCAACGTTGTGTTCTGGCCCTGAGCTGTCGTCCACAGGAATAACGCAGCAAAGATAGGGAGAACAACGAAAGAAACGCGAGAACGCATCGTGGTGGCTGATGACAAACTGCTGTGATCGCGTGTTGCCTGCTTGAACAATTGATGAAAAATTGGTTAGAATTTATATGCATCCATGTCCTCACTAATAAAACGCTTTGTACTGATTAATTGTAGTGCCGGCACCACTACACGCGCCTGGCGCGCGCCCGTCGGCGTCTACGGGCCTTACGCCTGCTGGTCCTGCTGAAGGGTCCCACACGCGCTCAGCGACAAGGTCAGCTACGTTATTGAAAGTTTTTGGGTTGGAAAGAAACACCTATTATCTTCTTTATAACAGTCGCCGCCGACGCTGCGGCAACGGCGCTCGTTGTTCAAAGCATACGAATCGCTCCCTCACAAGTTCCCTAGTATTGTTCCAAGTCATTTCATTTGGCATGAAAATGATAATAAATTGTTCCCATTTCCTCAGTCGTAAAGCGCATACGTGTCCTGACGCCGCCGATCCTAGAGATGGCGTTAGTGCATCTGGGGAAGCTATAACTCGAATTTAAGGCCATGAAATATTTGGTTTGAAGATACGTGCTAATCAGCCACAAATCTTCCGTCGTCCATTTTATACTGGTTTAACATATACAAAGCCGTTTTATGCGTTTGATCAATTAGATGAATGTGAGACATTAATTCATGCAGTAATGAATCTGTGCAGTAATACATGCATCATGCGCAACGCCCTGCTTCAACCCTTCGTCCGAGGAGCTGCTGATGAGTCGGCACACATTTCCCCTGGCACACATCATACAAATCGGGAGCGACGGGGCGCGTGCTATTCTACATTAGAGCTTCATAATTTCATGGTTGAGGTTGTGTCGTGTGATAGCAATAATTTTCGAACAGCGACGGTGAGGGTGTGCGGCGGTGCCTGTAATTGACTTCTTAATGCGTGGGAACATACATTGCCATCTAATGTTTGGTCACTTTTGTTTTGTGACTTTTAATCCGTAAGCTTTTAAACCAGGTTGAAAATCCCTATCATGCTCTTCTGCTATAACTAGGATGTTCTAGGATCGGCGGGGTGAAGATGATACTTTAAGCTTTACGCCTGGATGAATTGCGAAAACGTAATGTACTTTCAAACATAAGCTTGGAAAGAAGGTCAGCTGATACGTTGGTCAGATACTATGGAGAGAAAATAGCGTATGAGTAACGGGCCCCTGAATCGAGCGATGGCGACCAGACAAATCCTTCACAGTAAGCATAGGATGATTTTAAAAAAAAGATATTAGGTGTTACTTTCCAACCCAAAAACTTTCAACAACGTAGCTGACCTTGTAGCTGAGCGCGTGTGGGACCCTTCAGCAGGACTAGCAGGCGTAAGGCCCGTAGAAGCCGACGGGCGCGCGCCAGGCGCGTGTAGTGGTGCCGGCACTACAATTAATCAGTACAAAGCGTTTTATAAGTGAGGACATGGATGCATATAAATTCTTAACCAATTTTTCATCAATTGTTCAAGCAGGCAACACGCGATCACAGCAGTTTGTCATCAGCCACCACGATGCGTTCTCGCGTTTCTTTCGTTGTTCTCCCTATCTTTGCTGCGTTATTCCTGTGGACGACAGCTCAGGGCCAGAACACAACGTTGGGTACTCGTTTCGATGGATACAGTTATGCATCGAATGTGATCGGCTACGTCAACATGACCATGGACTACTGCGACATTCAGGTATCGTAGAGCGGCTGAGGCTATGCCAGCTACCTACTGGATGGGTTGGGTTCTTAACGACAGCCGCCCAATGCGTTCTGCGCATTCATCCGGCGCCAGGTCGGCTATTAACATGGTTGATTTGGGTCGTCGAGTTCGCCGCGATAAACTACCTTTGTGTTGGTGAACGCAATTACATGTTAACTTGCCTGCAGGCCGCCATCACTGCCGGCAACTTCAGTGCTGCCCTCGGAATCTACACCACCGGAAAGAACTCATGGAATGGCCTGACACGCCGCACGTTCTACGTAAGCTTGTCGGGGCAGGCACGCGCCTAGCCAATAATGATGCTTGACCTTACAATGCAAACAACTGTATATGCATGCACCGACTGCTGGCAGGGCAGTAACTGTCGGTCGGCTTTGGTGCAGGGGTGCGTGCATAGTCCTGCATACTTGATATGTGATGCATCTCCCTAAGATTCCTTGAGGTACTCCGTATTATTGTCGTTTACTTGTCGTTGTTGTTGCTGCTGTCGTTGCTGTTGTTGTTATTGTTGTTGCTGCTGCCAGCGTTTCGCCAGCTTCACGCCCGGCGCTGGTGTCGTGGAGCCCCTGCACGACGCCCTGGCTATGGGCCGCAATGCCTCATGGCTGGACTCCATGATCAAGTGCGTGATGAGTGCGTGGGTCGTCGAGGCCATCCGTCGCTCTTTGCGCACCGCAGTGCGCTGGTCTGGGCACTGCTGATTGTTTGGCTCAGCTTAGGAAGTTGTATGTATGTATGTATTCAGTCGTCGATCCACAGCTAATCGTTTGGTCGTCACTACCTAGTACAGGTAGTACTAGGGGTCGCCCCTCGATAGAAAGTAGGCAGTGATGAGCTAGTGTGCGTAAAGCAGCAGGACAAATGTGATGATGCAATGCTGTTGAATGTGCTTGCTCTCGTAACTGCTGCACGGTGACCACCTGCTGCCGCAGGGATGCCATCGCAAAGCGCAACGGACCGCTGGCTGCTGGCCTGATCCAGGTGCGTGAGTGGGTTATAAGAAGTTACGAAGGAGAAAAGGACGGATAAATAGATCCTGCTGTTCTTGCTTGTTTAGTTGTACACGCATGCATTTCAGTTGGAACCCCAGCTACGCACCCGCCTAACGCCCCTGCATACTAAATGGGCACCCGCGCATGTCATCCATCAGGTTGCAGTGCTGAAGTACTTCTTTCACGAGGTGGATGAGGGCTTCACCAACGTCGCCACCTACCTGAACGACACCGCTAACAACGGCATACTCATTAGCGATGCAACGGGTGCGTTACTTACAAACGCGCCCGGTCAGGTCGGACGGTCTGGGTTTGTCGGGGTATTAATCAGAAACCGTCCTACGGCTGCGGGAGTTTCATCGTCGTGCGAGCGAGCTGCACCAAAGACATGCGTGCTTGCTTACAGGGAAAGGTTTCTTCGTATGTATTTTATGTTTACTCTGACAGAGTTCATTTTGCTGCTGAAAGACCAATCAGGACCCTTGAAGTGGAATGTTTTTATTTACTTTCGAAGTGACGTGCTTGCCGCTGAAACCATAGCAGGTAGTTAGCAGCTCCATTAGCTAAATAATTCATGTAACGTTTATGACTGATGCGTCTGGCTCGGCCCAATGTTCTTTTCCCCAGGTGCACCCCACAATGTTGACGAGGCGTTTGCGCTGTGGGCCGGTGGCAGCCCCAGCGCGTGCACGACCCTGTCAAGCTGGGCGGCTCAGCTGGGCGCGGACCTGGAGACGACCTTCGTGGGCAGATCCTATATCAACAGTGCCATGACTCTGGCGTTGAACGAGCTGCAGGTTGCTGCGCGCAAAGGTGATGCGGATGCTCATGTTGGCTCCAGATTGATAGGAGGGCTTGCCTACCTGCCGCCTGCATCACTGGACCCTGCCTACTGCTGCCTATCCAAATCTATCTGCTAGTCACGTGTACATGTCTTCCCAATCCACACATCCGCAGGGAACGCTGTGTCGTACAATGACACCCGCGCCATGGTCCAGCGCTACATCACCCTGCTCGGGCTCCAGGGCGTCATGCGTTCCGTGTACCGTGCGGAGGTCGCAGTGGCCTGCAAGCGCCCTGCAGCACAGATTGCAGAAGCCCAGGTGCGTGCGCGTCCAGTACACGAAAGCAGGCACACTAGTACGGCAATCGATTGCAAACCCACCTGCGCCAACTCGGTTGTGATGCTGTACTATAGCTGCAAATAGTACGGCATTCATATCGTCTATAGAAACACGCGTTAAGGCGCTCCGGCAGCATCTTAAGAGACCTTCCCAGCCGCCAGCTACTACTTTTCTTGCAGCTGCCGACATGCTTCATACACTGACAGTAGGGTGTACGTATCTGTATGTATAATGCAGGCCTTCATTGCCGTACACTTGACCTACCTCGAGCCCATGCTGCTGGCGAGCAACGTGCCCCCCGCATTAGTCCAAGACCTGAACCGCGCCCTGACGAACTCCACACCAAGCTACTCGCGAGCCCTGCCCGCCATCAGGTATGTATGTCTGTTGCTTGGGCCAGCCAATGAGTAAGGCCTGACTTCGGAAAGGCGTTTTGCTCAGATGTTTTTGCTTCCATACATCTACAGCGCCATGCATTCGTCACTTCGGCCCTTGATAACCGTAAGGCGTTAACACCCGCATGAAAATGCCTGCTGACTGCTTGCTGGGTCGCCATGCACGTGCATAACCTTCATTAATACCTTGCATTTACAACATGTTTTGTTTCGTGGTGCACATGACGACGACTGTGTGCTAGCCTGACTTGCACGTTGCCTTGTTACGTGATCACACAGGGTGGTGGTTTCAGCACTGGGTCGCCGCATGGCCGAGGTTGGCGAACCCAGGTTCGAGGTCATCACCGCCGGCTGGACCAACTGCAAGCTCAACTCCCCTCCGGCGGTCGGGCGCCGCCTTCTGTCGAGAGAGAAGAGGGTGTGGCGTGCTTTTACCATTTCGTGATTTGGATCGCGATCGGAGGAACAGGCTAGACAGGAGCTTATTATTGCCTACGTGCGCGCGTTCTTATAATGGTGCCTGCAGGCGCATGCAGCTCGCTTAGCATAGGGTGTATGTACGTGCGGACCGTCTTCAGTACTCGGGTGGGCTATAGCCCATGCTTAGCAGATCATATCATGTCCATGTGCCACGGCCCTGGGGTGCCAGCAGCAGTATTAGGGTCGCTAGTTGATCTATAGCAGGACTCATTGCTCATAATTTGCTGCATGGATGGATGCAGAACAGACGCTCGTGATCCCCCTGTCGATGTGTTGTATGTTGTATGTACGATGCTGCTATACGAGTCGAAAGTAGTGCTGACGACTGGTACTGGTGACGAGCTATGGGTCCTTGAGCCTTCGTGAGTGCCTAGAAGGCCGAGCATCAAAATCAGATCTGATATGGATTTTCCACGCTTCGAGCATATGAAGGACGCTATGAAGTGGGAACCTGAACGCCTGGCAATGATGCTGTAACTGTAGGAGTCGCTCACCTGATGAAACGACGATCCTTGCGGAAGCGTAAAACTGAAGGTCCTTGCTGAGGCGGGTCGGATTCTAACCCAGCGACAAGCACTAGCGTACATAAATAACTGGAACGGCGTCAGCGAAGTTTGACCTCTGAACACCTAGTAGTCGTGATACTTAAGTGCCTGGCCATAGCACCCCGCCCGGGTAGCTTATATCTCGACCTTCCTGCCGGAGATTCCCTACTTTACCAGCCGTGCTAGGATACTGTCGGTGAGGCCCTGGGCCCCAGCCCGTTAGGTTCACTACGAGCAATTGCCATCTTCGTAACATGTTACGATAGTACGTAACATGTACGACGCTCGAGTCGAATCGTTAACGAAATTAACAGCTATTGTTAACAGTATTCGTTGAAATATGCTTAGGGAAATGTAGCTTACTACAGTAACGTATGTATGTTGTTACAGGGTGGTTAAGCTTCACCAGCGGCCCCCTTTCCCGAGGTAGATCCCTGCTCTCCCCTGCTAATCCGTTCACCCCATCCGACTTCAGAGTGTACTCTTTGAGTTTAGCAACTCACCACCAGCATCCTACCAGATCTAGTGGATCAACGGCGCCTCAACTTAGTTCCTGGTCAGCTCGCAAGTTGATATAAACACATCCTACACCGTCCATAAGATGGGGAGCCACCTCCCATTCCAATATCTCTCACATACCCGAGAGGTCGACAGGCGGATTTAAACTCGGACTTTCCGGGAGCAGAAGTCAGGCCTTAACCTCTGCCAACGTATGTGGTCCCACCGCAACTCTATCATTCCCTTTGGTCATTAAGTCTCCTTTATCACTTGCTTTGTCTGAAGTGCGAGATAGGACGGTGCTTATAGGCGATCTGGCAGCCCTTGAGCCCTCAGCTCGTATTAGGCGGTCTGCAGGTACGGGGAACGGACCCCACGACCATGTAACACACACATACACACATATATATATATATATATACATACACACATATATACACACACAAAGCAGCAGTAAGGGCATTGCTTCAACATGTATGCCTAGATGACGCGCGCCCTGCCTGCCTTGTGCAGGGACCCCTTTAATGCAACCAACTGTGAGCCCAACTGCCCTTTGCGCAGCCATTCCGACATATCATGCATGCGTGCTTGCTTGCGAGCTCGTGTGCTCTGCGGTGAGCTAAGGTTCTGGCTGTCTTCGGCATTCTGTTTCTTGCACTGTGCTGTATGATGTGTGAAACAGGGGGGTGTATCTTCACCCGTGGCAGCTACCCTGCGAAACCCTGCCTTCCCCGATATTTCGGGGCACCCTCATCCAGTCACCCTAGTCAACTTCTTTGTGGATCGTTTCCATACCCACCACCAGCATCCAACAGAATCTGCCGGATCTATGACGGCCCAGCTCCATTCCTGGTCGACTCGCATGTTAACTTTATCCCAGGTCACCACCGTCCATCAACTAGGGGCGTAATGCCTTCCACCATCGGAAGGATTTTCGACCCTGACAGGTCTTGATCCCGGCATCTCCCGGGGGCAATGGTCATGCCTTACCAGTAGTGCCCAAACTAGTATTATTAGCATGTACTGGTGTTTGTAGTGTAGTACGCTGCTAAGTGTTTGTAGTATGTGTTAGGTTGTGATGACGTGTACATGTGTTTGTACGAGTGGTGATGATGAGCTGTATGGCGATTAAAACGACATTTGTCACAGCAACTACAGATTGTCACTTGCCGTGTGTGTATGTGTATGATTTGCTACAGCTAATGAGCATTCAACATCCTTTGACTCTACAGCAAATGCCACAGCTGCAGCATGTTCTGAACTATGTTACCAATCAGACAGGAGATGCATCAGCCGGCAACAAAACGTGTACTCCTAACTAACCGACATATAATGTGACTGCTCTCTTAACAGACCACTCGTGCACTCGTACCTGTTGCTGCACAAATCATTTACGGCTTGAACCTTGCAGTTTGCAACCCTTCCAGGACTTCGTCTATCCCCACACAGTATCACACTCGGAGATTACTGTAAGTCCACCCCAAATACAGAAACATGGACGGCAGATAGCGGCAAAAACCCGAAACCCTCGCTGACACAAGAGAGGGATTGCAACTTCATCGTACAAACACTGTACAAGTGCAAGATGAGCAAGGAAAATATCTCGCAATGGATATCATGCAACCCATTGTCGACAGAAAATTGCTACTTTTTTTGCGTCAATCCTGATAAGGTGCGGCTTCCGGAGATGCTGTCATGCAAATGTTGTATACGCTTGAGTTCCTGCAAGCGAGAAGGCAACATCATGCGACACCCGACTTTGCAAAGCCGCTACAGCTGGGCACAGCGCCTGCCGTTCGCCAGCACCACCGCCGCCACTGCCGCCACCACCGCCACCCCTGTCACCCGCGCCCACCGCCATCGCCGCCACCTGCACATGTCACCACCACCACCACCACCACCACCACCCGCCGCCACCGTCACCGCCGACGCCGCGACCGCCACCGTCACTGCATCCTTCGTTAGGGCTAGATCCGAATATGTTGATGTCGCCGCCACCGCTATCCGTCACCCGTCAACCCCCTCCTCCCCCATGCCCCCACACCACATCACTGCAGGGCAGCTCCTCATCCCGCTTCAGGTGTTTCAGGAGTGACGTACATCGTGTGAACATTGTGATGTGTACGGTGTACGAATGCCAAAAAAACTATTAATATTATGAATGGACTTGCCGGGGTTTTCTCCCCGACCCCCTGGAACTGATACCCAGTCGCATACGGTCGTATACAGTCATGCACACTCGTCTCCCGTAGTGTTCCTCAACCTAGGCACAGCCCCCCTTGCCCCCTCCCCCCCTCCCTCCCCCCTTCCCCCTACACCTCTACCCCCCAACCTGATCTCTCAACCCCACCAGCTCATTCTCCCGAGCTAACACCGCCTCGGGGTCCACACCATCATCCGACGGGGCCACAGCACCGCCACCACCGCCCACTTCCATGGAGGCACAGCTGCCTTGATGGCATTGTACGGCATGTGTGACGAGTTCGTAAAGCTGCTCAACAAGGCGTGGCGGTGTGTGTGTGTGGAGTATTGTCCGCATGGAGTTATGTCACGACGAGGGGCAACGAAGGGGAGTACGGTCCAGAGTATACATACATACGGCAGGCGGCTGGCAGAGGTTAAGGCCTGACTTCTGCTCCCAGTTGACCCAGTCGACCCGGGTTCAAATCCGCCTGCCGGCTCCTCGGGTGTTTGAGGAGTGATGAAATGGGAGGTGGCCCCCCATCTTATGGACGGTGTAGGACGTGATAACATCAACTTGCGAGCTGACCAGGAACTAAGTTGATGCGCCGTTGATCCGCTAGATTTGGTTGGATGCTGGTGGTGAGTTGCCGAACTCAACGAATACATTCTGAAGTCGGATGGGGTGACGGATTAGGGTGCCCCTCTAGCAGGGGAGAGCAGGGACTGCCCCGGGAAAGGGGGCCGCTGGCGAAGTTAACCACCCTGTAACAACATACATACGGCAGGCGGCTGGCAGAGGTTCAGGCCAGACTTCTGCTCCCGGAGTGTCAAGGGTTCAAATTCGCCTGTCGACCGCTCGGGTGTGTGAGAGGTGTTGAAATGGGAGGTGGGCCCCCATCTTATGGACGGTGTAGAACGTGTTAATATCAACTTGCGAGCTGACCAGGAACTAAGTTGAGGCGCCGTTGATCCACTAGGTTTGGTAGGTGGTGAGTTGCTAAACTCAAAGAGTACACTCTGAAGCCGGATGGGGTGAACGGATTAGGGTGCCCCTCTCGGAGGGGCGAGCAGGGATCTACCTCGGGAAAGGGGGCCGCTGGTGAAGCTTAACCACCCTGTAACAACATACATACATATGTACACACACGGGGTGATGATTGCCTGGAACACACGCCATGCAAGACACCGATAACGATGGTGTCACACCAACTGCCCGTCTATCATCACTCGGAGTTAGGTTGGGTTAGGTTAGGTTAGGTT